GGGTGCCAAGACAAGGAATGGGACAGGACCCAGGCTAGGAGAAGAGATGGGTGGGTGAATGATGCTGTGGGAGTCAAGATGCAGAGGGCTCAATTGACTTACCTGGGAGAGAGACCTGCCGGTCGGAGAGAAGTATTTTTTTTTAACTTTAAAAAAAATTATTTATTATTTTTATTTTATGTGTATGTGTATATTGCCTGCATGTATGTGAGTGCACCTGTGTCGTGCAATGCCTGTGGAGGTCAGAAGAAGCTGTCAGATCCCCCTGGGACTGGAGTTACGGACAGTTGTTTGCTGCCATGTGGGTGCTGGGATTCGATCCTGGGTCTTCTGCAAGAACAACCAGTGTTCTTAACCACTGAGCCATCTCTCAAGCCCCACACATGTGCATATTTCAAGAGCTGGAGAGAGATTTGAGCAGAGTTTATATATATAATTTGAGGTTCCTGCTCCCTGCCTTTCTCCTTTCTTGAATTTATAGCCTTGTTCTCTATCTCTGGTCACTCAAACTGTATGTTCTAGCCTGAGTAGTAGGATTGCAGGCTTCTCTATCAGAGGGTTAGCCTCTGTCTTCAGGCAAAACAAAACAAAGGTGAAAATGGGAAATTTACCTGGCACTCTTCTCTTCATCTAAGGATGCCCCCTCTTCATTCTCTGACTGCCTATTTTCCCAGAGTTTATGGTTGTGATCTGTGAGAAGATTGGTCCAAAAGGAGCTATACTCCATTCCCAGATGCAGAAGCTCCAGTATTAACTGAAAAGAAGCCTTAGAGCTTCAGCAGGATTGATGCTACCACTTGACTGCTGAAATGTAGCCAACACAGTCCTCCTGCAACTGCTTTATTATTTTCCCTCTATCAGTACTTCCCAAGTAGAAGGAAAGACAGGCCAACATGCAGGGACAGAATGTTCCCTCTTTTGAGTCTGAGAAGGTTATTGCACACTTGCAGAGAAGAGTCCAATCCACAGAAAAGGAGGGAGTGTACCATTATGAGAGGCACATACAAGGCATCTTCCCTGTTAGGACTTCAAGGTGATGACTACTATGTGGGAGAGAGACTTCACCCCAGATCTATATTTGCCTTCTAAAATCACACTGGTGTTCCCTTAAATTTATAGTGACGTTACTATTTGTTGGAAATCCATAGAAGAATAAAAGAGTCACATTAAAGCAGATTTGATTTCTTGGTTATTAAAATCATTGAATTATCATTTTTCAGGTTTTATCTGCAACCTGTCCATATGACAATAGGTGCACAATCACCCCACTATCTATACCATCTCTCTCAGTAACAACCCGTTAGCTTTTTGGATGGTAATTACTATCAGTGCTCTGGATCACAGGAAGCCATTTCGGAATGTGTTCATTTGAAGCCTCCAAATCAGTATAAGTCCTTTTAGCATTCAGATTTTCTGGCTCCCCAGAAAAGATCATTTTACAGGAAGAAAGGAATACCTTTGCCATCTTCCAATTCTGGATATGCAGAATTTATTTTCAAAAGTAAGGTCTAATGATGTGTGTGGTGATTGTGGTGAATGGCCATGTGTGATTGTGTCTGTAGACACAAAGGACCTTCCCAGAGACACATTTGTTGAAGGGGCACTCAACCAATGCCTATCACATTTTGACTGTCAGAGGCAGCTTTGGTGATGGTTCAGTGAGTGGCATTTGGGTGACTGATTGTGATCTTCTGAGACTGTGATTGTGCTGGGCGTTGATTGTTGATCAATTGTACTGGTTGTGTCTTCCAGCCTGATGAAAGATTATTTTTTCAAGCCGCCCATCAATCAATTCAGCCTGAACTTCCTGGATCAGGAGCTGGAGCGATCCTACAGGACCAGCTACCAGGAAGAGGTGCGTTCTCCTTAGGACCTCGTGACAGAAATCGTTGTTCTCATGGGACACTGTTTTGTGCTTTACCAGGTGACAGAAAAATGAAGGTTAATGTTGATTTCCCACAATAGGGGAAACCTTGTGTTGGAACTGTATGTGAATTTATCTTTGCAAGGGAGAAAATCCCAAGGCTTTCTGTGTTCCCTTATCTTAAAGTCAAGCCCCACTCCCACCAGACCTTTTCCTCCACAGCTGGTGCCTCTAATCCCCTATGGTGACCCCAGCCCTGGAAGGATGCCCAGTCACACCTGCTCTAAGTTTTGGGGTGACACTTCTCTCCTCATAGCTTTGTCACTTCTGTCTCCTGAAATGGGACCAGACAGTCAGGAGGCCTGTACCTCCCACCACAGCATGGGGCTCACATTCCCTCTACTCCATTATCTCCTTAATTAACTCTGTCACCCTTGATCTCTCAGCTCACACATCATTTCCTCTAAGAAAACTCCACTGATCCCAACTGGACTTTAGCTCTCTATGTCATCTTTTCTTATTTGCATATACCCCACATTGGATAGGGATACCCCTATGTGATTTCTGAACCTGATACTTCCTTCCCTAACACTTGACCCTTTGTCTCCATGCTCTCCAGCTACCCAGTACAGCCCACATACCTGATATGTTCAGTGAGGTACTTGAATGGACCTGGAGTCTGGTTGGAGTGCTAGACAGCAAATCCCAGCATTCTTTCCCTTGTCCTCAAACTTGACCTCTCTGAGTGTTCTAGAGCCAAAGTTCACCATCACTTGACCCCAGGACCAAGAGGGTTTTCACTTAGATTCTACTTGATTATTGGGCAGATCTTCATGTCTGCTGTGTTCAAGCCCTGACCCAGGTACTGGAGAGACCATGGTGCATGAGATATGGCCATCCTGTACCTTGCAGGGCTGGAGGCACTGCCCTCTGTCAGCCCCACTGGACAATGAATATCTGTCAACATTACAACCAGAAGTCCTGCATGGACTTGTCTAAATAGCAAGGAGTATTAGGCTTTAGCATTTCTAAAGGGAGTTGGGGAAGTTGGGAAAACTTGGCATTCAGGTGAGCATAAAGGTCCCCACACTGACTTCCCTGCTGCAGCCTTGCCACTTGTCCCCTGTGCCCAAGCCTTAGCTATTTCCCAGAGAGCATGATGATATGTATGTGCCCCTGCAGAGGAGGTCAATGTGGCAGCGTAACCTCAGACTCTCGGGATTTCTTAGGGAACCTCAGAAGTTAGGACCAGGTGCATGATCACTTGAAGAGCTTCTGAGTTCCATGGGGGAGGTGGTCTAGCCCTGTACCCATTTTGCTTGGGCAGGTCCAGGATTGACATCTAGTCTAGCCAGCGCTTAGTCTCCAAGCCCAAGTCACCCCTTTCCCCATCTCCACCAGCTCCTGGAGCCTATTTGAAACTGAGGCAGCAGAGCCAATTTGACCTGAAGGGACTGTGTACTGTACTGAGGGCTGATCACGGGCCTCTCCCTCCCACCTATAGCCCCACCAGCCCTGAGCCCTGCTTGGGGCTGCCAGAAGGTAGCAAAGCACCATCAGCAATGCAATGCTCTTTCCTCCACTGCAGCCCCTGGCTTGATGTTCTACATCTCCATCCTGAGAAGGGCCCAGGGTATACTCTGGAGATAGCTTATCTGGCTGCAGCCTGGCCTGGCTCCTCATTCTCTGTGTTACCCTAGATAGCTACTTGGCCTTGGCCTCCCTCTACACACAGGAAACAGTGGTACTTCCTCCTCTGTGTGCTATGGAGAGCTCTGATTGAGATGATGCCTCTGAAGGGCTGACAGGAGTCTGGAGCTGGTCATGTTTTGGACCTATTAAAGCTGTTTCCTCCCCCTGATTTCTCCAACAGCATGTGTGTGTGTCCTTAGTATTCTTCACAAACTATGCTCTTTTCTGTGCCTGTTCTTCCCCATGGGCATTGTTTTATGTCCACCCCCGTGCCCAGGACCCAGACAGCCCAGAGCAGCACATATGTGAGGATGCTTTTGATAGCAGTTGTGTGTACCTTCTGTATGTGGAAACTCTCTTCTGCTGCTGCTTAAATCCCTGCCTCTCTTGTCATGAAGCCAGCTTTCACATCCCTGAACTTGGGACCCATCCATTCAGTAGAAGCTTCCAGTACCTGTTGCCACTCAGCTGCCTTTACAGATGTGTGCTCGTCGCCTCTCAGACCATAACTCATCTTTCAAATCTGAAATTGTGTTTGAGAGCCTATGGATTTAAAATCTGTTGCTTGTGTGATTCTCGGCAAGTTTCTTAACTTTTCTTTGCCTCAACTTTAAATGGGGCAAAAGGAGATGTTCTACTTAAAGCATGTACCCCGTACCTGATCTGAAGTAGTAGGCGAGCACTCTAAACACTGCTGTCTTGTCCTTCTAAGCCATACTCTCTGGCTATCTGTGACCAGTCAATTCATCCCTGTTCTGTCCTGCTCCAAACAGGTCATAAAGAATTCTCCCGTGAAGACTTTTGCAAGTGCTACCTTCAGCTCCCTCCTGGATGTGTTTCTGTCCACCACAGTGTTCCTGATCCTCTCTGTTACTTGCTTCCTGAAGTATGGGGCCACTGCCACACCTCTCTCATCTGCTGCCCTGGCTGTCTTTGGTGCAAATCTACTGCTGGAGGTGCTGTCTCTAGTAGTGTCCATCAGGTATGTCCCATCACAGGGGTGACTCTTTAGCTCCCTCTTCTGGCTCCACAGTTAATGACACAGGGGCCAGGAGCCTGAAGGAAACAGGACTTTTTCATTTCCTTTTCCTCCCTCCCTGTTTCACCACACCCTCCTTGCAGACACTGGCCTTCCCTCCTCATAGGTGGTACACACTTACTAGAGAGGGTGAATAGGCTGTGTATGCAGATGGGCCTTGGATCTCCTAAATTAGAGATTAAAAGAAGTGGGAAATTCAGAAGCAAGAGAGGGAGGAAGAAATGCATAAGGAGTAGATGATAGCCAGCAGTAGATGAGCAGATGTCTGCTAACCCTAGGAGCCAAACTAACCCAATTGAGGAAGTCATGTCAAACTTCTGATCTTGGAATGGGCAGCACTTAGATATGACCCTAAGAGTGTGAGCAGCAAGATCACAGATAAATTTATGAAGCCTTAAAATTTTTGTGCTACAGAGAATATAATTGAAGCTTGGCATGGTGGTTCACACCTATAATCCCAACACTTGGAAGGTGGAGGCAGGAGGATCAGGACTTCAAAGCCAGCCTTGTCTACTTAGCAAATCTGAGGCCATCTTGGGCTACTTGAGACTCTACCTCAAAACAAACAAACAAACAAACAAACAAACAAACAAAAAAGCATAACATGAAGAGAGAAAACCTACAGAGTGGGAGGCAATTATAGGTCAACAAGAGTCTGATACCTATGGTATATAGAGTTCATACAGCTCAGCAATTAAAAAGCCAATCCATTTGAAATAGAAGACTAAACAGTGCCCAAAGAAACATGTAACTCTTTTATTTCTGAGCAGGTATGGATGCCCAGAGCATTTCACTTACATGAACACCCATTGTAATATGCGCCTGCCCCCTGGCTTCTATGATAGTGGGTTCTTGTACAGTGACCCAGCCCTGTCACACTCAACAGGACAGTACCTCAAGCTAGCTGAGGCCATTAATAATGGGCCTCAGGAACTGGAACTAGGACAGAAATGGGAAGAAGGACCTTGTCTGTGAGTTTCTGCTGCTTCTTTCCAACACCTCAGTGCAGGAAAAAAACAGCTTAGACCTGGCCTTGATACTTCCAGATGCCAAATGTTCTCCCTTTGAGTGGGCTGGCTGGAATACCTGCTTCTTCCCTTTCTTACACACTGTCCTGTAGGTCCATCTCAGCCGCAGAGACTGCCCCCTCCCCTGATTGAAACTGTGTATCTATACTGTCTCCCAAATTCCCTGCCAGGATCAAGCCTGCTGCCCACAGTGAGCAATCCTCCTTAGCTCCCTTACCTCCTATGCTTTCACACTTCACCTCAGTCCAACTCCCACTCCCACAGAAATGGCTTATACGCAAATCCTGCCAGGGTCTACTTCTGTAAACCCCAAACCAAGAATTGCCTTAGCCTCTATATTTTCTTCCTTCCTCCCTACCTTCCTCCCCTTCTCCCTCCCTCTTGTCCACCTGTGGTGGTACTAGAGATTGAACTTAGGGCCTCACACATGCTAAGTAAGCGTTATACCGCTGAGATATATCCTACAGCCCGCTTTCTGCTTTTTATTTTGAGACAAGGTCTCACTAAGTTTTCCAGGTTGGCCTTCAACTCACTATGTAGCCCATGCAAGCCTCAAGCTTTTGATCTTCATGCTTCAGCCTCTAAGATTATAGTCCTGTACTACCACATCTGGCTTTTTTCTCTTTATTCATTTATTTATTTAATGAGCACATAATTGGGCATTTGGGTACCTATAATCTCAGCCATTTGGGAGGTTGAGGCGGAAGGATCAAGAATTAAAGGTCCTCCTTGGCAGCATACCAAATTTGAGGTCAGTCTGAGCTATGTAAGACCTTGTCTCAGAAAATCAAAAGTCACAAATAAAATGTTGTGTTGTGATCATGCACATGCAGTAAACTCACTCACTGAGGGTGTAGAATTCAGGGGCTAGGAATGTATGTAGTCCAATTCCTCGGCATTCGGCCTAAGAGAAGTTCTGTGAGTCTAGATCCCAAGATGATACCCCCTCAGGGTATTCATTTGTGGTGTCAAGATCCTGGGTTCAGTCCCTATCACTGCCTTTTTTTAAAGTGTAGAAATAAGTGAATTTTAGTAAATTTAATTTTAAAATATTTCTGTCACCCCAAAAGAAACTCTGTGCCCACATATAATCACTCCCCAACAGCCTCTCTACGCATCTGCCTAATGTGAGGCCTGCAGTTCTTGTTCTGTATTTTTACTATAACTTGTTAATTATTGTTCCCTGTTCCTTTCTACCCTGTTCCCTGCCTAAATAATCTAGGCCTACCTGAGCTTAGCTGCAGAGGGCTGTTCCTACCTGCATACTCCATAAAAGTCTGGTGAGCCAGGCGGCCACTTTGCTCCTATGTGAACATTGCAGAATCACATTTCTCAAAGGCTAGAAGAGGCTGGGATCTCAGATCAGAAAGATGCACACTGCGGGTTATGTAGCACCCCAGGGGAGACAATTCTTGGGCTTTCCCAAAAGGTTTTCCACACCTTGACTCAGAGCCTCCTTTCTCTATTCCAGCCTCAGGTAAAGCACCAAGACCACTGGTCTTGTCTTCAGAATTCTGTGCTCTTTGGGACTGTCATGAAGAGCACCCAGTGTTTCATCTCCTGCCTGGGGCTCAGCTTCCTCTATCTTCCTTCCTAGGACTTCTGGGTCTTGCCTGTGAATACAGCTGTGGTTTTTCTTGGTTATATTCCAAGGCCTTTGTTTTCCTTTAGATTTTAGGAAGCCAGAGTAGCCCGTGATATTAAAATGGTACTTGAATCTGTGTGGGTAACGGCTGGAGGTAGGAAATTCCTAGTAGTGCTAAGCACAGCTAATGCAGCTATTCAGGGTTGAAAGCCAAAGGTGCCAGTTGTGGGCATGTGTGAGAGGCTCATGCCACTGAATCACCACAGTGGCTCCTGACCAGAGGCAAAAGGAGTGAGCCTATCTACATTCCTGGGCATTGGGCCTAGGAGAAGTTCTGAGTCTGGATCCCAAGATGACAGCCCCCTTAGGGTATTCTCCTCCACCATCTACTGCTGGCCCTGCCCTTACCCAGGGAGCCTCTTGCTCAGCCAAGACCTGCCCTTTCCTCATGGAAGTTCTCAGCCTACACTCTCAACTTCTATTCTTCATAGAAGAATTTTACCACATTGTTATCATTGTCTTAAGATGTAGCCCACCCAGACACAAGAGAAGTCATAGAATGCTGTCTCTGAAACGTGAAGGAGAGATTAAGGAACTGAAAACACGGAGTGCTTCACCTTGCCTAATACTAGGGCACCCCTTCCTGGGAAATAATAAAATGTCCCGTCTTCTGTTTTGCCTATAATCTAGGCTGTAAATATGGCATCTGGACACACAGGGGTAGAGTTCGTGGTCTCAGCTGGCTTGAACTATATTCAGGTGTGTGACCTGACTTCCAGAAAGGCTGAATGGCCCTTAATGTCCCAAACGAAATGAATTTGATTGGCTTGGAGGGGAGTTAACACCTCTGAAAACTCCTGCTTGTGCACAGAACGCTGTGAGGCTCTGGGATGTTATCATCAAACTTCACAATTCTGTGGCTTCCACGGGGCATGTAGCAGTTTTGTGGGTCGCTGGTGTAGCAAGGGAAGAGCTTTACTGTGTGATCCTGGACTGTGCCTGGCAGGGTATTTCTATCCCTGGTTCCTAGGCACTGAATGCTAACAGCAGCCCTTCACCATTATGGCCACCAAAAGGCCCCACAGAACATGTCAAAAAGGCCCCAGTCAGGACCTCCCAACCCATAGTAGACTCTACTTTTCTTTCAAGCTCCTTTGCACACACAGAGGTATAAATTTGGCTTTTGATAAGCACGTTTTGCCAAAATGCAGCAGATAACCTTGCAGTTGGGTATGCTGAACTGAATGAAACTAGTTCACTTACCTGTTGACAAGTGTGAGGGGCCTGTAGTCTGTTGCCCCTGCCATAGGGCAGTTGCAGGCATGAAGGACCTAGCATCTACTCCTTCTCCCCTCCCCTCCATGTCCTAGGATGGTGTTCTTCCTGGAGGATGTCATGACATGCACAAAGCGGTTGCTGGAATGGATCGCTGGCTGGCTCCCTCGCCACTGCATCGGGGCCATCCTGGTGTCCCTACCTGCCTTGGCTGTCTACTCTCACATCACCTCCGAGTTTGAGACGAACATACAAGTAAGTTGTAGCAGACTGTCTTCTCTCTATGCTCTCTAGACTTCTTAACCTCCTTTCTTTAATCCCAAACTTTGGGATTACTTGGACAGTGTCTTAAATACAAGTCCTTAAAGAGGTGCACTCTGTTATTGCCTTCAGCCTTTCTCTTAAAACACAAAACATGAGCTAGGCATGGTGGTGTACACTTGTGTCCTGGTACTTGGAAGGTGGAGGCAGGAGGATGATGAGTTCAAGGTCGTCCTTAGGTGTATAGAGTTTGAGACCAGCCTGGGATACACAACAACTTATCTTAAAATACACAACAACAACAACAACCCAAAAAACACATAGTGTCACTGGCTCTGCTGAAAGATTCCCCAGTGGGCACAAGGCCTTTCCAACTTCACTCAGTACTCACCAAATTCAGATCAGTTACAGATGATCCCTGACTTCCCATAGTTCAAACTTTCAACTTGTTGACTTCAAGGGAGTGCAAAAGTTTTCACATATGACAATTCTGATTTCAGTTTCATCCTTCTCAGCTTTTTGGATAGGATTGCATGTAGTAGCTGATTTTTTTTTTTGGTCTTTTTGAGACAGGGTCTCCCTGTAGCCCCAGCTGTCCTGGAACTCACTTATGTAGATCAGGCTGGCCTCGAACTCACAAAGATCCACCTGCCTCTGCCTCCCAAGAGCTAGGATTAAAGGCATGTGCCACCATGCCCAACTAGTAGCTGATTTTTACTTTTAGAGCTCAATAAGTAATATCAGATAGTCAACAGGCTTCATATTGGATGACTTTGCCCAATTATGGGCTCATGCAGATGTTCTGAACATGGCTAAGCTAAGCTAGAACAAGCTATTATGTTTGGAAGATTATGGGTATTAAAATCATTTTTTGTTTTATAATAATTTTCATTTGTTACTTAAAAATTTTATTGGATGTTGGGGATCAAACCAAAGACTATGCATATACTAGGCAAGCTCCACTGAGCCACATCCCTGGCCTGATAGTGCCCATTTGTGTAGAGCTTGTAGGGATGGAACCCCATAGTAGTTTGAACGTTTGTACTTCACCTCATGCTTTACAAAGAAGCTTCTGTCCCATGTTTCCAAATGATACAAGACAGTGTGCCAATGTGCTAAAGTCACTGATGGTTACCTGGATCAGCTGCTGCTGCTCTAGGAAGAAACTTTTTTATTCTTGGTCTTTTTGAGACAGCGTTTCCCTGTAGTCCCAGCTGGCCTGGAACTCACTATGTAGACCAGGCTGGCCCTGAACTAACAGAGATCCACCTGCCACTGCCTCTTGAGTGCTGGGATTAAAGGCATGCACCATCATGCCTAGGACTAGGAAGAAACTTTTAAGTTGAATTCCATAAAGAATAAGCTAATGTTATTCTGGAAAACGTTGTTTCTCAGCCTTTAAGCTAAGATTGACTGTAGTATGCATAAGCATAATACCAGAGCAGGCTGATTGCATCTAGTGCTTTAACTTCAAATTACATCTCAGTGGCTTATAGCAAAGGACCTAAAGGAAGCATTTGGAAGGTGACCCATCCATCTCTCAGTGATAGGGCCCCAGTGGACAGCCTCCCTTTCTACCAAAGTGATGTATGCCATTTCCACACACCTGAAGGAACATCCTCCTGCCTGTGTAAACTTGTAAACTGAAGTGTTGTGCCATGAGACAGATTTGTGGTATATCCTTGAAACAAACTGGCACATAGGCTGTTCCATAGTGTATTAGTTATTTTTTGTCACCATGACCAAATACCTGATTAGAAGCACTTTAGGGAGAAGGATTGATTCTGACTCATGGCTTAAGGGTACAGTATGTTGTGGCAGGGAAGGCATGGCTGCAGGTGGCTGTTTGTGGAAACGGAACTCTTCACCTCCTCAACAGCTTGGCAGAACAGGAAGAAGAGATGGGCTAGGAAGCAAGCCAGCTATGTAACCTGTTCAAGGCCTTGCTCTCCTGAGATCCACTTCCTCTAGTTAGGCTCTACTTCCTAAGGTTTTACAGCTTCCCAAAACAGTACTCCTAACTGGGGACCAAGTACTCAAACACATTAGCCAATGGGGAACGTTTTACATTCCAACCATAGTGAGTGGTATCAGTGATGCTTGATATTAAACAGAAGCATGGGTGAGTGGGCACGTCCCCTGGTCCTTGACGTCAGGTAGGTTGGGGGCAGCATATGGAGAAGATGGGACAGGCTGTCCTAATGCTAGCTTCTCTTGCAGTTCACCATGTTCACTGGTTCTGCTGTGTTGGTGGCGGTTGTGCACTACTGTAACTTCTGCCAACTTAGCTCCTGGATGAGGTCTTCCCTTGCCACCATTGTGGGGGCTGGGCCACTGCTTCTGTTCTACATCTCCCCATGCCCAGACAGGTATGTGACTGGTCCCTCACCTCACAACTCCTTGCCTAAATCACTTAAGGATCAGCAACACTTCATGTTAGCACTGGCTCCCACCTTACTGACAGATGTTTTCCATCATTACTTGATACAGCTTCCAATACACATAATATCCAAATAGTACTGGCTGGGGATGTGGCTTAGTAGTAAAATGCCTGTCTGGCTTGCAAAGACCCTTAGTTCAATCCTCAGCACTGCCAAAAACCAACCAAAAAGTAATAAAGTGCCCTAAGAATAATATGCAAAAGAAAAATCATTTATAATAACATGCTACAGGTTGAGCATCCTTAACCTGAAAACCTCAAATCTGAAGTGCTAGAAAATCTAAAATTTTGGGGCACAGACAATGATGCTAGTGCCAGAAGTCTGATAATTCAGTGTACACAAGCTTTACTTCATGCATAACATTATTTAAAATATTATATAAAATTACCTTCAGCCTGTGTATAATATGGATATATGAAGCATGAATGAACTTTGTGTTTAATTTGGCTCCGCTCCCCAAATACCTACATCATTGTGTTTGTGCACATATTCCAGGATTCCACAATACTTCTGATCCCAAGCATTTTGGATATGGGAACTCAATCTGTATATATTTGAATACAGACATCTGTGGGTTCTACCTCTGTAAGACACAGTGCAGTAGGCTGCTCAAACTTCCTTGTATGAATAAGTTGGAATCTAAGAAAGTAAGACCTAAGGCTGTCTCACAGGAAAGAGTCAAAATGATGAAAGAGCAGAGAGAAAACCAGGCATGGGTGGTACAGGCCTCTAATCCAAGCACTCAGGAGACTGAGGCAGAGGGATGTCAAGTTTGCCAGCCTGAGCTACAAAGCAAGACTCTGTCTCAAAAAACTAGGCAAGCCTGACTTGGTAATACATGCCCATAATCCCACCACTTGGAAAGCAAAGGTGGAAGAATCAGGAGTTCAGTGTTGGGTCTGAGGCCTTCTAGGCTACATGAGCCCCTGCCTGAGAGGTATAGGGACAACTATACTGCTAACAAATGCTAAAGAGTAGAAAGGGTGGTATGGACAAAGAAATGGGGGTCATACAATGGACCTCTGGGAACAGAATCAGTTCTCATTGCTCTACAAAATGAGAGGGACATTTAAAATACCCTGTAAGAACTAGACATGGTATCTCACACCTGTAATCCTAGCATGGTAGATATAGGAGGACAGTAAGTGTGAGGCCAGCCTGGGGTATAGAGTCAGATCCGATCTCAATCCAGCAAGCAATCACAAAATAAAATGCCCTGTATGGATGAAGGCCGTTGAGATTCCTCTCTCTTATGGGCTCTACCAGTTACATAATATTTGGTTCTTAGTTTGTTAAAATGTATCTCAAATTGCCTGTTATACACCAACAATCAGCTTTGTAGCTTTTAAGCTTTGTCAGCTAAATATGTAGTTGGAAATACAATAAAAACTTGGATAGCAGAATGCACACAGTTAGTACTTTATTTAATCATTTCATGATGTCTTAAACCCACTAAGCTTCTGTTTGTATAACAAACACCTAAATATCAGGCTTTTTCTTAAACTTATAAAGGTGCTTCCCAGGAGCACTGGATAACCACCTGTCCATAATTACATTGGGATTAGGTGAGCAGGTTGTTTTAAAGTTGCAAGGGACATTTCTTCATTATGCTTTGCAAGACATCTAACATTCCTGCTCCCTAAGTTGTTATCACTACTGGAGTCCCCACAATTCCCAGGTACTCCCTTGGTAGTGGCGTTACTGTCATCGAGAACCGCTTCTTTAGTGATTACATCAGTAGTATCAGATGTAATCACTATAGTATGTTTTGAGGTAATTGCAGAGCAGTGGTCAATAATGGACAAAGTACCATCCTCAGTTTCCTTTCTATATCAATAACGATGTGAAACATATTACTATTCTCTGCAGACCAAGATCAAAAAAGGAATTTAAAGTATATCTGAAAGGAAGATATGATGAATAGGTAGATTATAGTGAGTGGAATGAGACCTCCTTCTATCTTTGTGGGCCATCAGAGTTTGTTACAAAGCTTTGTGCCAAGAGTTTAAAATTCATCAACCAGCCTTTAACCTCAGACCTGAAACAGATGCCTCATAAGCCATTCACGGTGACATTTAGTCACGGGTTTTGACTTCTCTGCTTGGATCCAGAAAGACAAATTGTGGGCCTCCCATTGATCATCCTGCCTACAATCCAAACTGTAGATCTTGAGGTGGAACTGGTGGATGAAACTCCTCTTGGCCAGGGCCTCTTCTACATGGAAGATCCTCTGGGCCCACCACCCACTCCCAGTTGTCACTGGGCCTTGCCAGGGCAGGGTGCCTGTTTGGTGGTAAACAAAAGTCTCAACTCAGCTTTTACAAAAAAGAAGGGAACTTCAGAGAACTGAAGCTGTCCAGCATTGGCAGGATACAGGTATGAAGAAAGAGATGGATGCATGAATTGTATAGTTCGTTTACTTGGTGTTCCAAAAGGAAAAGTTATTTAAAATCTCCTTGGGCTGCTTTCTATAATATCGCCTTTGCTTTCTATAATATTTTCTGCGTTTTCATTCCAGTTCCATAGTAATGTCAGCCCTGGATACAGCACAGAATTTCAGGTAAGCTTTCAGCATGGGGCTTGTAGCTGAATAGAGAGCAACCATCTTAGCACTGTTAATTTCTAAGTCTCCCCAAATAAACTGTAGAGCATACATATCTTAAAAGAGGAAATGTGTATGTGTAAATGTTTATGTGAGTGGGGTAACTACTTGTTGAAATATCAGACCATAGTTATAGCTTACTGGGAAAGTAAATGATTACTAAGACATATGTTAGAGTCAATTTAATTATATGTGAGACTTTAACATGTTAGAGAGGAAATCTTACAAATCAATGGAAAATATTTTATCCTCTGAAATATTTTGACTCAGGGCCAGCCAGATGACTTAGCAGTTAAAGGTATTTGCTATGTAAGTGTAACAACCTGAGTTCAATCCCCAGAATCCATGTAAAAATAAATGGAGAAAACCAGATGTGGGGGATCACATCTTTAATCCCAGCACTCAGGAGGTAGAAGTAAGTGGAGCTCTGTGAGTTTGAGACCAGCTTGGTCTATATAGCAAGTTCCAAGTCAACCAGGACTACATGGTGAAACTCTGTCTCAAAAAAAAGAGAAAAAAAGTGGAGCGAACCAACTCTAGAGAGTTGTCCTCCTCTGTCCTCTATACATCATGCATCATGGCATGCACCCCTACACATGTCATGTACAAACACAATAACAAATAAGTAAATAACTTAAAATATTTTATATATCTGACTAGAAATTTGAAATAATACATACTCAAAATTTTAAATTAAATATTTGACCCTTGCTTTACTATAAACATAAAAATAAATTCTAAATAAATTGATGGCTCAAAAATAAAAATTATGTGTTCTGTGCATACACATACCTGCAGCCACACGTACACATATGGAAATACATGCATATACATATACCACAAAATAAAAATATACTATAAAATCTAGAAAAATAGTAATTTTCAAGCCTCTTAAGACAGATGATTTTCCAGTCTTACAATAAATAGGCTCACAAAGAAAAGACTGAGTGACAAATCAGAGAGGAAAGAAAACCAAAGCAGACAGAAAACTTATGGAATTATTACATAAAGAGCTAATTAAGGTTTATGCAAATGAAAGTCAGAAAAACCACAAGAGCTTGCCAAAGAGGAGATATGGGTAGAAGATACATATCACATATTCAGCCGCCATTTTTTCCTGGTACTGGAAATCAAACCCAGAGCCTTACACATGGTATACAAGTACTCTACCACTGAGCTACATTATCTGATTTAATTGGGCTTTCAAGAAGTAGTAATATGAAACAAACCATGGCAACTCACACCTGTAATCCCAGAACTTTGAAGGCTAAGGCAAGAGGATCGCTGTGAGTTTGAGGCCAGCCTGGGTTATATATGTCCATCACTGAAATACCTCAAATGTTAACAGATATGTCATGTCTTGCTGATAAGAACATCAAGTGGCCTTTGTTTTCTGTTTTTTTTTTTTTATTTTTCTGTTTTAAAAATCCTTCCATAGCCAGGGGTGGCGGCGCACACCTGTAGTCCCAGCACTTGGGAGGCAGAGGCAGGCAGATCTCTGTGAGTTCAAGACCAGCCTGGTCTACATAGTGAGTTCCAGGACAGCTGGGGCTACAGGGAGACCCTGTCTCAAAAAGACAAAAAGAAAAAAAAATCCTTCCTTCGCATGGTAATAGATTATAGTGTATTTAACTTCCACGTATGGTTTAATGCCCCAGTATTCAGCCAGTTGATGTTTACATTTTCCTCTTTTGATGAGGTATGGGGGCTCAGGCCTATAATCTCAGCTACTCAGGAGGCTAAGAGAAGAGAATCACAGATTCAAAGTCTGCTTGGGCCAGCCTGAGCAACTTAGTGAGACCTTATCTCAAAATGGAAATGAAAAACAAAAGAGCTGGGGGTAGCTCACTGGCAGAGTGCTTGCCTAACAAGGTTCTTGACAACAAAAGAGCTGGGGGTAGCTCACTGGCAGAGTGCTTGCCTAACAAGGTTCTTGATTCACACACACACACACACACACACACACACACACACACACACACACATCCCGTTTTGAAACTGACCTTTGCCATTTGAATTTAGGATTTGGATTGGTCATCTTTACCTTAGAATAAGAACTGTTGAGTGTAGTAGCACATGCCTGTAATCCCAGCACCTGGGAGGTAGAGGCAGGAGGATCTAGAGTTCGAAGTCATCTTTGGCTACATAGTAAATTAGTTCCAAGCCAGACTGAGCCATCTTGATAAAACAAAAGGGGGTAGGGGCGACAAAATGGCTCAGCACTTACTGTGAGAGAACTGACTCCACAAAGCTAGCTGTCCTCTGACTTCCACATGGGCACCGTGGAATGTGCACGCCCATACTTGTTCATTTCACACACACAATAATAATAATTTTTAAGGTAGGGGCTGATGAGGTGACTCAGTGTATAAAGACACTTGCTGCCAAGCCTGATCACCTGAGTGAGCCCATGAAACCACGTGGAACAATGAGAAAACTCAAGCCCACAAGTTGTCCCTTGACTTCCACATACGCACCATGGCGTGTACATACACACACATGCACACGCACAATAAATAACTGTAAAATCAAAAAATAAAATGAAAACAATGGGGCTTAGAGAGATGGCTCATCAGTTAAGACTGCCTACTGCTCTTGCAGAGGACCTGAATTCCCTTTCCAGCACCCATGTTGGGCAGCTCACAACCACCTGTAACTTCAACTCCTGGGGCTCCAATACCATCTTCTGTCCTCCAACTGCACAATGCACATTGCACTCACATGCACATACCTACAGACACATACATGTAACATTTTTTAAAAATTTGCCGGGTATGGTGGCACATACCTTTAATCCCAGTACTCAAGAGGCAGAGGCATACTGATCCCTGTGAGATCAAGGACAGCCTTGCCTACATAGCAAATTCCAGGCCAGTCAATGTCATAGTGAAACCCTTTCTTAAAAAATACATAAATCAATATAATACAATAAAATTAATTTATTATTATTTTTATTTTATGTATATGAGTGTTTTGCCTGCATGTATGTAAATGTACCATGTACAATGCAATGCCTGCAGAGGCCAGAAGAGGGTGTCAGATCCCCTGGAACTGGAGTTACAGGTGGTCCCCAGTTGCCATGTGGGTGCTGGGAATCTAACCTGAGTCCTCTGGAGAAACAGCAAGCATTCTTAACTGCTGAGCCATCTCTCCAGCCCCCAAACTAATTAATTTTTTAAAACCAAAACTAGCTGGGCATAGAGGCAGGCAGATCTCTGTGAGTTCAAGGCCAGCCTGGTCTATATAGTGAGTTCCAGGACAGCTGGGGCTACAGAGAGACCCTGTCTCAGAAAGAACAACAACAAAAAAAAAAACTAATATGGGAAGAACTGCAAGTCATAGGCGGAAGCGAATCCATCCTGCTTGTTACAGGTGTTTCTCATAGTTCATCAGCCCCCTTGGGTGCAAATGTCAATGCTGTGTGTTCAAGGTTCTTCTCCATCCAGCCAGAGGTGAAAGCCAGCAGTGTCCCCCAACCTATAACAGTTTGACTTAGATTTTTGTACTTTATGGTAAAACCCATGCAGCAATTCTTATTTTCACTTTCAGTGCAATATTCAATAAGTTACATGAGATAGCACTTTATTATAAAATAGACTTTGTGTTAGATTATTTTGCCCAACTTGGGCTAACAGGAATGTTCTAAGCACATTTAAGGTGTGCTAGGCTAAGCCATAATGCTTAACAGTGGCTTTATCAAGACATAACTCCATCATAGAGCCAGTGGCCTTTTGTGATCTATTTCCTTTCCTGCCTCTGTCTAGAGGAGACCAGCCTGTGTCCATTTTCACTGAGCTGTGCTTTGCACTTTGGCTTCAGTATAGCAGGAGATGTTTCCAGACAAGCTAGATGTCATGGTGTACACTTGTAATTCCAGCCTTCAGGAAAGTGAGGCAGGAGGATTACTGCAAATACAGGGTAGGAGGGAGACAGAGACAGAGAGACAGATTGTGGAAACACAGGTACTGTCATTTCTTTCTCCCACAGAGATTTAACCTCCTTTTACCATTCAAATGATGTTAAACCCTAATAAACCTACTAGAGGGCCATTCCTCAGTGCCACCACTTTGAGGAAAGGAAAAGGAAATTTAGCCCCTGACTGAGCAAACTGCTCACAAGAAGAGGGAGCTGGCTTCTTCCTAGCCCACACCCTCTGCCCACTCTGCTTAAAAGCCATCCAGAGGGGCTGGAGAAATTGCTTAGCAGTTAAGAACACTGTTCTTGCAGAAGACCCAGGTTCGAATCCCAGCACCCACATGGCAGCTAACAACTGTCTGTAACTCCATTTCCAGGGGATTCAACTGCCTCTTTTGTCCTCTGCGAGCATTGCACGACACGGGTGCACTTACCTATACTGCAGGCGATACCTGCATACATATAAAATAAAAATAATAAAA